TATCTTGTTCATGATAAGAAAATATGCCCCTTTACAAATCTCGCTTACAAATTATTAGCACCCAGATTGGTCACAGCAACATCTGTTTAGAAATAAAGATTATAAATGACCAAGGGTCTAATAATGCTTTTTTTTTTTCATTCTTAGGGTATTTCTCTACTGCTTTTGTTGTAAAAACACACACTTCCATTTTCTAGAATTTTTTGAAAAAGATACAGACAGGTATCAAATTGATCCAATATTTCTAGTCTTTACTGTTTAGATACAAACACATACATAGCAATACATGCACACACAGACGCATAGGAACATATATGCACATATAGGTTTTAAATTAAACACAATGCTTTCAGAACATGTTACCTTTCTGTGTCTCACAAAATACAGTCTCTCACTCTCCATTTCTTTATGTAAGACTATTCTGAGATGGCTTTTTGCAATAATTTTGCCTCTATTTAGGTAAGAATACACAAATATGATACTTATATTCTAAATTCATGTTCCCTCATCATACCTAATGCCCTTGAAGCAATCTTAAATTACTGTTATTACATGGGTCACTAGAAATCAGAAGCACCAATATAAATTTTAAAAAAAGAAAGAAAGAAAAAAACGGAAAACCCCTCATGCAATTAGATCCTGACTAACGGTTGGTTTAATCAATTTGATTTTTATCCCTAAATCCAGTCCTTCCTCTTGAGCTGTCAGCGAGCGAGATAAGAGCCAGTGGTGTAGACGGGCTGTCTTTTACCCGCCGAGATGACAGCCACATGGATTACTAAAGCGTTCAGGGGATAGAAAGCAACACGGCCGCTGCACCCTCATCCAGTGCACAATCTTTCTATTTCATTAATTTTTCATGGAATTTCATTTCCCAACAAGCCGGCGCCTGCTATCCATCTGCTCCACTTACTATGTCCCCCTTGCCAACTTTTTATTTGCATTTCACAACATTCGCAGGCTGCTCTGCTCCTCACCACCTTGCTGAGATTCCCAGTTTACTTTCCTAGATCTGCTTTGTGGGGTTGCTTCCAAAACTCACACCCAGACCCTTAAAGATCTGTACACTGAACCACTCTGGAACAACATAGCTCATTTCAAGACAACTTTTCTGTTGTCAATGCTCCAAAGACTGACACATCATGTGTCAATGCCCAGCTCAGCTGACCAGTCAGATGAGTGTCTGCACATCTCATAGAGACTTCCCCTAAGTCCTTTCCTAGTTGATGGAAGACGGCTACTCTTCACTCTGTCGTGTGTCCTTCAGTTTACCTTGAGTGGGTATCCGTTTCTAAATAGGTCCATATTAAAAGAGATTTTTGTTTTAAATTTTCAGTAACTTCATTTATTTTACATATGGGCTGTCTATTTAAGTATTTTATTTGGAAAGTGAATTTCAGGTCAATGTATCGCTTCTTTGGGGAAAGTATACTAAGAACAACAACAAGAAAAAGGAAAACAGGTACACAACACAGAAAATATATACTATTTTAATCAATGAGACTGCCAAGGTGTATTTATGAGACTCCTCAAATATATTATCCGGACAGTCTATGGGAAGGGATTAAAGTTTAAGTGATTTACTTTTCTGTAACTGAACTATTTTTGAAAACTACCTGAGTGATCTGCTGCTAACAACAATTAAAAAAAAACACTTCGAATCTTAACCTTTATTTAAGTTAAAATGAATTCTTTTGCAATATTTACTCAATAGTTGCAATATTTTCTAATGAAAGCAGAATTATCCTTCATAAAGCAAGGAATAGATGAAATTGTTTACAATCATGCTGTGTAATTCTACCAAGAACTAGAAAAATAAAGTGCAATCGCTTTGTTCGCTCCGTGAACTATTGCAGGCAATACTGTATGGTTAATGATGGCAGGTGATAGCCTTCATAACTACCTGCGCTACCATTGTTTCCCCAAAGTCTCTAATTGACAGCAAAGGAGGATAAACTGCTACGTTCCACACATAAATGGGTTCGGTCCTTACTTTTACACAGGTACAAAAATCAAAAGCTTTGCCTGTTCTTCTCAGTGTACTTTTATTTCTCTTGTCACTGTCTCATATAAAAGTAAGATTCTCACACTTTCCATTTGTCTAGACAGTGTAAACCACATACAAACAATACCGGAACGAAGTCCTAACTGAAACAGAAACCAAAAGAAAACACGCAAAGGTGACTAATACAAGGTCTCAACAAAATTTTCTTTAAAGTCTATCTGGCAGAGAAATGCGTGCTTCTGCCCGGTAGTCCCGCAAGTAATATTCTGTGCCTAAGTTTTCCTTCAGCTTTTGAGGCTTTAAAGATATGTACTACTTCCTAAGTGGTAGGGTGACAGAAACCCACCCTGTGAAATAAAGGACCCCATTTCCAAGGTGATGGATTGCATTTGCCGACAATCATATCCTATCATTACTGTAGTTAGGCTGTAGTTAGTGCTTCAGCTCACAACAGACTGTTGGAGTATGGAAAGCAGATGGTACCAAAGACACTCTTCAAGGCTATACATGGAAAATAAAAGAACCTTTGACACACTGACCAGCTGAATGCTAGGAGGCACTTTTTTAAAAGCCTGAAGTTTGGCTGAGAGATGAGCTGGGAACATGCATGCATACATGCATTTATCATAGCTGCATTTCTTAACTTGCAAGAATAATTTAACAGATTATAATCAGCATCTTCCAGATTTACCCCATAACCTCTCTAGAATTTCCTTAACTCTCTCTGATGCATGTCTGGGTTTTCATGTTGGTCTGGCTTACAATTTGAAGCTGTGCTATTCCTACTTGCTGAAGATCCATGATCATTAAGATAAAATTTAAAGACACCATTGCTCTTTATGGAGCAGAAGAAATGTGAATTTATAAGATATTATAAATAAACTTATCTTTTTGAGAGATGTAAAAAATTATTTACTATGTCCTGTAATCAAGTATAGTAGCCTTTATTTTTTATCATATTTTGTTAACTTTGCTAGTAGAAGCAAATATTTAATAATTTCATTTGTCTATCCTACCACAATAGCTGCTGGCAGGTGCCACCAAAAAGGCCACTTATACACAGGTCTACACACAATAGAAATTGCTGTATGATTGCCTATTGCCTTTGTTATCAAAATCTGGACACTTACTATCGTCAAAATTACAAATATAGTCAAATGTACAAATATTTTCTGTAAAATGTTTTACTTTGGGTTGTCATGGTTCAGTTTTTAGTAAATGAAGACTTTCTCAGATTTTTTTTTTATTTCCTTCCAGAATGCTTTAAGTTAGTATGCCTTATACTTCATGGTAAGGCAAATGAAGGAAGATGAGGATTTCGTGCAGCTTACATTTCTAGAGACGGTGTTATTGTAAATATTGCTCCATTCGCTTTGTTCTAAATAGTTAAACAGACTATAAAACTATCAATTTTTCTTTACTTCTTTTAAAATTGACATTCTTTGTCAAACTGTTGAAAGCTATGGTGATCTCACTATCCATGTCATTTTTAGTAGTACATAGCTTTAGAAGAAATCAGTGTGTCAATTTCAAAACATTTTCAGATAATGAAATGAACATCAAATACATTTAAGCTGCTTATGAATTCAAGTACAATTATAAAATCAGCCCACCCCGCCCCCCGTGAAACCAAACGTTTCGAGACGATCAAAGGCAGGTGTCAGCTCTCCTTTGCTCTCAGGGGTCTTTGCACGATCATAAGCAAGGACTGTTTGCTTCTGACATTTTTGTTTTGTTAATTTGTGTTATTAGAAATCATATTGGATGCAGGGACTGCTAGAAAACACTTGGGAAACCATTGAGCAGAAACTTATCTTAGGCTATCGATATAGACTCTAGAAGGGTTAGTACAACCACCGCATCTCACAATGCATTCTGCATGAGAACAGTTTAAAAATTCCAACTCACTGAAGTTGTGTCTGCTCTGCATACCCCTAGGAACACTTTAAAAGCTAAAAGAAAACCAAAATACTTTCCAGGTACTGGTAAGCGCACTGAACTTCCACCGTCTCACAAAGAGTCAAGTTCCTCTCTGAGAAGGAAGGGACAGCTTTGGGACCATCTTTAAATACATCTGTGGAATGCACACGGGCTAAAGATGCACGCTAGGGCACCGCCTATCACGTTGGAAGAATTGCTAATTTGACACAAACCCTTGTGTGGAATCCCTGCACTTGTGGTGACATTGACTAAGTTCTGAGCCGCCAGTTTCCAACACCGTCAGTAGCAAGGCACAGCCCGAGTTTGTCAGCTGCAGCCTGCCATCCGGTTGTCCATCCTTTTCTGGTTTGCGAGGCTTAATTTTCTTTCTTTTCCTACCATTAATACACAGCGTTTATTTTATTATTATTTTTTTACTGGCAGTAATTTCTGCAATGGCGTGCCTTGTCCTCTTTGTCTATGCCAGTGTTTACACGACCACGAGATATTTCACTGAGTTAGAAAAAAAATAAATAAATAAAAGCCAGTCAGTTTGGGAAGGAGATTGCCAGGGCTTTGCCCTCTTTTTCCTCTGAGACAATTTGGATAGGAGGAGCTGGGGCAAGAGCTCATTCCCTCATTTTTATGTGTGTTGGCTTAAGTGAGTGTTTCTTTTGGCACCCTCTAATAATGTCGGCTCCAAGAGTGTCTAAGTGCCAGCCTTGGGTATCCAGTAGGGACGGTGGTACCCAGAATACAAGCATCGGAGAGTGGATGCTCCTCTGCTCTGCCCTCTCAGCTTCCTTCCCAGTGTCTCCTGCCAAACATCTTCCTCTTAGTAGTGAGCTGGTTCGCTGTATCCTCAGGGCTTGGGGAAAGACCCCTGCCTATTTACAAAAAGATTTGAACTCGCAAGTGCCCTTCTGAGTGTGGACATCCCAGAAACATCCTAAAGTAAAGACGACAAGCGGAAACCTACAAGCGGCCACCGAGATCACAGGAAGGACAAGGGGAGAGAAGGGGGAGAGTTGCAGCGGGCACCAGAGCGCACGCACCGAGAGCGAGAGCTTCTTACCTTTCCTCTTGGACCTCCTCCTTCTTCTCCTCTTGGATTTGCATTTGAGTTGACTGCTTAGCCCTCCAGATCCTCTGCCGCTGCTCCCCAGGACAGATGCCATGCCAGTTGGGAGACTTAGAGAGGAGCCGGTCCTTATTCAGTTTCGCCTTTCTTATTCTTGCTGCGGTGGCTGCTGCGGTGAGTATTTCTGGCTTTCCAAATCAAGTAGCAGGCTCACTTTTTGGACTGGGAATGCTAGCAAGCACCTTCTCTTTAATTGCCGCGTCCCCTGGTTCTGGAGCTACTGAAAGCCTCCGTTGTGGGCTGGAAAGCTGAGCCCTTCCATAGGCAGAAAGCTCTGGGAAAGATTCTCCCGCGCGTCCTGAGCGCCCCGGAGCTCTTTTCTCCTCCTCTGGGCTCCCAAAGCAGGGCTGCTACTTTTGCGCCTCTGCGAGTTGTTTGGCACCATCCACTTTAAAGCCAATCACGCAGGGAGCTCGTCTATTTGCTGCCGCAAAGTCTAATTAGATCCAATCACAACTGTCTTCTGGCTCTGACATCAGCAGCACCAGCTCCACCGCCTCTGGTAGCTTGCAAACTCAGCTCCCATTTGGACGGATGGAGCCGCCCAGGGCAGGCTGGAAGGAGAGAGGCTTCAGAGGAAGCCACAACCACACCGAACTGGTTTTACTGGGAGAAGTCCAACGATACGATTACGGGGAAGGTGACTATGCTGGGATGTCAAGGCTTCTTGGCCGCGTCTACTTGTTATGCTCGAAAGACGCAAGGACTAATTTCTCAAACCCAGCATTTTTTAACTAGTTGTCTTATTAATACACTCATTGTCTGAAGCGGGAAGAATCTCGTTCGGTTCAGGACCTTAGTCAGAAATACGCTGAGATCTGTAACTGCCAAAAAAGACAAGCTCTTTAGGAATTGTTTACTCAGAGACCGAGTATCTGTCTGTTCGCATGTTTGTTCTGGTGGGTTCCCACTTCACTTCCTTTTCATATCCCTAGGCTGTTCCTTTAGAAAAAGGAAAACCTCATAAAGTTGGTGTTAAGATTTCATCTGAATTTTATAGAAAGGGGATTCCCGTGCTGTTTTTCCAAGGATGGAGCAATTATAGGAGAGAGAGGTTAGTAGTAAGGAGGGGAGAGGTGGGGAGGAGGGAAGAAGAGGGGGAGAAAGAGAAGGAAGAGGAGGATATTCCACGGCAATTGTAATATTTACATACAGAACGGAATATTGAGGAAGAAGTGACTATAAATTGAGATAATCTTAAAATTGTGTTTTCAGGGATATTCTAGGTTTCAAGAATTGACTTCCAGAACATAGAACTCCGACATAAGACATAGAAAGGAATATAATCCAGCAATCACGATGGCATCTTGTATTTAAATCTCATAAATTATTAATCATTATAATTAATGATTATAAGATTGGTTTGATAAACATTCAATCTGAAATTTGGTAGGATTAGTTTACAGGAAGATGGGGAAATTATTTTCTGTTTGTTATTTACTGAGTTCCATATTTCTTTTTTTCAAGCTCCTTATGGCCCTTGATATTTCCATATTATTTCTCTTATATAAGACACAATTCTTCCAGGGAACATTGAAAGTAATTAGGATGTCCATGGACTGCTGCATTCGTGAGCTGAGCAATCCTTACTCAGCTTTCATTGATGATAGACAGAGACTGTGAATTCCAAATCCTGACTCCACTGCTAGGATTCACAGCCATTTACATAAACAGTGCCTCAGTTTCCTCATCTGTGAAACAGGGCTAGCAACCACAGCTCCTTCATGGGGCCATTCATACTTTTCAGTCAGTATAGACAGTAGCTAGCAGACAATAACCACTCTGTGATTGTTAACTTTATCCATGATAATCTGGATAATTTCAAGAGACTCCTACAGGTAGGCCTTTGAGATCGAGAACCTGCTTTTCTTCTGTTTTAGACTATTTGACATCCTGACGTTTTTCAAAGAGAAGACTGCAGTCAAACAAACTTCTCCAGATTGGGTTAGATCCTACAATTCCTGCTAACAACATCTCTGACTAGTGCTACTGAGGACTTCTCCTGATTGCTGAGAAGGCAAATGACAGTCTCACATAACCTGCAACCTAAGAGACTGAGATTCTGGGGAAGTTCAGTGAGAATTCCCATAACATACATACAGACTTTGTGGTGTACTTCAAGGAGAGCAGACATTGGGAGGAATTGTAATACATCAAATAAAAACAAAACAAAGAAAGAACAAGAAAACAAACTCCTTCTGCTTAGGTTATGAGACTTCTCAGTAATGAATTAAGTAAACATGCCATGAGGTCAACATTGAAGAAAAAAAAAACTCACTCATAATGCAGTGCTTATAAGGTCAAAGGTGGAAATTATGGAGTTTAACGGAGAAGACTTAAGTTGACCTTAGTTGTAGAAATGCCTTCCTTGGCACATCCAAGCCTCAAGGGGATGTCAGAAGCTGGACAAATATCAGAAACCGTGTTAGCCCTTCAGCCTTGCAAAGGCTTGGGAGTTTCAACTGTAGTCAGAAATACAGCTGTGCAACCACACCTCACAGATGATAAACATCTGTGCTCCTTACAGAATGCCTGACCTAATCCTGAGTTTCCCTTCTTGTGTGTGTGCCTGCAGAAAGCCTGACATCAGGGTGAGTCACCAATGGATGGTCTTTCAGATAAAGCTACACACAGATGACCCATTGCTGCTTGATTATAGGACTTCATTAATAATGCTCCCTTAGGCCCATAACAGCACCACCATGTAATCTCTGAGACTCATACACATTGAGTCTTACTTTACTAGGACAGTATGTAAGGGAGGCATAGAATAGAATTTTGAGTATATATATATATATATGTATAGTTACATATGTGTGTATGTATATGTATGTTTACATATATATATATATATATATAGTTTGGGGGAGAGGGAATAACATGACTAAATTCTGAATATAAGCAGTTAATATCTTCATTTAAACATCAATTAGACAAATCTTGGCAAATATTTGCTTTTCTTGAAGTTTCTCAGTTTGTTTATTTTTTGCATAATTTATGCAATATTACTATACAGAGATCTCTTGGTATATTTGTTATTTGTGTGTATGTAATAGTGCCTCATAAATGGTATACTTAGTCCTCTAGTGAGAATGGGATAAAAAAAATGGATGTCTTCATACTAGAAGCAGAAGTGGTTTATGATGGGAAATATTTACACTCAAACATGGTCTCTAATATGTTTCAGTTTGTTAGTGCCAGCAGGGCTGAAAGTGAGCAGTGTTGACAGTCTGCCACTCTTCTGATGAGTCCTTTTGCTTTTTGTCTTTTTCCTGGATCACTTGAGCAGAGCTTGGCAGCTTGAGATGATGAAGAGCAGCTGGAAGAGGCTTCGGCTCAGGAGCCAGTCTCAACCCACTGCCCATCAGCAGGCATCACGGATGTGTCCTGTACTAATTGTATTCAGTTGCTGTTTTCCCCACAGAAAAGAGAACTAGCAATGGGCTTCCAAAGAGGAGCCAGGCTGATCAAAGATGCTAACAAGAGCTCCATAGCTCTGCATGTACCTATAAGCTGTAGAGCTAAGAATAGAAGGACTTGGGGAAAATACGGCCTCTGTTTGTCCTCACACTCAAGTGTCTCTCCAGTTTCAATCCTGTGTAACATTTCACTGCTCTCAGCAACCCTCTTACAAGTGTTGTAACAATCCAAATTTCTGCATGATGGATTTACTAATTTCTTTAATGTTTATTCTACAACAGTTAAAATCATGTGCCCAACTCAGAACAACTCTAAATCCAGAGAAGATTTTGTTTGCACGATGCATCGTAATTTCCAAAGAACAGGTAACGTTTAACTATTACCATGAATCTCACTGAATTCAAGCAACACATACTGCAAAGCATACCAAAGCAAAGCTCATTTTATCGATGAGGAGACTGAGGCTTGGAGAAAAAAGAAACATGCCAAAATTCATGTGGATGTTTGCAAGTCAGAGGACATGCTTAGGCCAGAGCCTTGATGATCTATCACCATGCAGTACTGATTTTTACTCTAGAGTCTGAGACCAGTTAATTCAGCATACTTAAAGCCTGTGTAGCCTGGAAGTGGTGGCACAAACCTTTAATCCCAGCATTGGGAGGCAGAGGCAAGCAGATCTCTGTGAGGTCGAGGCCAGCCTGGTCTACAGAGAGAGTTCAAGCACAGCCAGGGCAATACAAAGAAACCCTGTCTCAAATTAAAAACAAAAACAAAAACACCTTTGTGAGTTAGGAAATATTATTTATAAAGAAAAAGAGCAAAGTTATCTTTTAATACTGAGTGTGACTCCAATCATTTTAAAAGCAGCAGTAGAAAGGTCCCTGGCTTCTATTTATTATTCTAACACATCCAGATATTACCCGTTTTTCCTCAGAATAAATATACAGTATAGAGAGGAAAGCTATCAACGATGGTGATAGATCCAAGACTTCCATAGGCCATTCTAATGCCATCCAAAAGGAACAATTGTCAGAATTATAGGCTCTCACAACAGACATGACCTTGAATATTTTGCTAGTAAGAGAATCAAGGAGCATATCATGAGGTACAACTACAGAGATGATAGCTTTGAGAACAAGTTCAAGTCTTCTTTTTCTCATTATGGATGGTGTTTCTTTGAACTCCTGTATTAGTATACAACCACACATGCTTATTCTGGAGTCTTAATGCTTAATACAAACCCACAAGGGCTTTGATCCTTTATTTGTTTTTATCAGCACATATGAACTGAACAGAATACCACTTTCATTATGATATTGCCATGTATATATGTAAGTTTATATGTGTGTATATACATGATGTACTTTTATCATAGCATACCTTTTATTGCTTTCCTTTCTTGATCCACCATTTTCTTTCCCTTTTTGCATCACAAATAGATCTCTCTTTAATGTATAATATTTCTCTTTATTGTTCTAACTTCATTCATGTAACATGATCATCTCCAGTTCTACCCATTTTTCTAAAAATGAAATAATTTTATGATTGATAAAACTTCATGTGTCTATCCATACCTATACCATCTATCTATATCTATCCATATATATATATATATGAAACAATGCATGTGTTGTTTCCTTGATACACTGATGAACACCTAGGTGATACTGCAATTCATGGTAATGTCTGCATTTCCAAACTGTTCATCTAAAAATACAGTTAGCTGGACATCTTATAAGTTTGCAAATATCAATATAAACAAACATGACTTGCTTAGAGTTGGGATTTTGTTTAATATTCTCTCCCTACCAGAAAATTTCACTAGGTGGGAAATATCAGAACAAAGGTTTCCCTGGA